TAGTCCAGAGCATTCAGAAGCTCAGACTGGGCAGAAGGTTCACCTTCCAACAGGACAATGACCCTAAGCACACAGCAAGAGCGGCTTATAGACAACTCTGTGAATGTCCTTGAGTGGCCCAGCCAGAGCATGAGCTTGAACCCAATCAAATATTTCTGGAGAAACCTGAAAATGTGCATCTGCTCCCATCTAACCTGAAAGAGCTTGAGAGGTGAAGAGGCGAGGACAAGAATGGCAGATATTTGCCAAATGCTGATGAGCAAAGCTTGTCGCATCATACCCAAAAAGTCTTGAGGCTGTTAAGGTGCTTCAGCTAAGTAATGAGTTAAATACTTATGCAATGTACTTATTTCAGTTTTTTATTTTTTAATAAATTTACAAAGTTGTGACAGTTCTGTTTTTGCTTTGTCATTATGGTGTATGGAGTGTAGATTGATGTGGAGAAAAAAGTAATTTAAAGCAGTTTAACATAAGGCTGCAACATAACCAAATGAAAGGGTATGAATACTTTCGCAAGGCACTGTAATAAAAAAATTATTGCTTTTCTACTTAATCTTGAAAGACATCAAAACACTGAAAATGTACATATTTATATTAACATAAATCGTAAAACATAAAATGTACCTATGTATTTCAAAATATATAAATTACTATAACATCAAGACATCAAAACATATTTTTGATATTAAAAAAGATCAATATAAATACATATTGTGCATTTATTCATGAACTAATGTGGATTTGTTTGGACGTGGTTTACAACACTTACAGTAGAGCAGAATGATTCATATCACCTGATGTTCACTGCTCAGAAAACACATTTATGCTAAGACACATGAAAAAGACAAAAAAGGCCAAAGACAAAATGTTTATTCACTGTCAGTCTGGACTGCAGCTCTTCCTGAAACACTGGCAGTGTAAAATAAGGCAAAGGGCTTATAGATCATATGGATTTGTACAGTTTTGCACCAACAACAGTTATACATTCACCAGTTACTGTATGTGTGATATCATATAGATCTATATATATATATATATATTTATAAATGTATTCTTAAAGAAGTGTGAGGGACGCGGGTGACAGAAGAAACACTCATGGTTATAAAGCTGATTCAGTCTTTACTGTGAAACACACCATCTCACGTCTTCATATGACATAGATCTACTCTCTGTGATCTCTAATAAAATAAAATAAAAATATATTATGCTTACCATATATAGCTCTTAAACTGTGTATTAAAATGTGTATTTTGCATTGGATAAATAAAATCTGTTCAGTTCTATATAGTAATTTAATGTGCTGTGTTTGGAAATAAACTCATGTACAAGACATCAGCGTAGTGTTGCTAACACACACACACACACACACACACACACACACACGCGCGCGCGCACACACACACACACACACACACACACATTTTTATGGTTTGTTTGTTTTTATGGTTTATGGGGACTCTCCATGGGCATAATGGTTTTTATACTGTACAGACCGTATATTCTATTGCCCTACACCAACCCTACCCCTAAACCTACCCCTCACAGGAAACTTTCTGCATTTTTAGATTTTCCAAAAAGCTCATTCTGAATTATTTATAAGTCTTTTGAATTACGGGGACACTGAAAATGTCCTCATAAATCACCTTCTCGTTGTAATACCTCTGTCATACCCATGTTATTATACAAACTTGTGTCCTCATAAACCACATAAACATGCACACACACACACACACACACACACGTGCATCCTAGTCTAATAAACATGGTTTAAGGATCTAGTGCAGAGATCGTTTCATACTCACAAACCCAACAGATGGTCAGTGACTTCAGAGAAGAAGTTGCACAAAAGCATCAATCACATCTAAAGCTGTTTTACAAATACATAGAAAAATATAATCCTCTGAATGCCCTTTTTACAATTATAGATAGATTATAGATTTATCTGAAAACATCAGTGTAGTTAGTGGTGGAGGATTGAGTGTTTGCTAAAGGGAAGTGAGTAATCTTCTTACAGTAATATATATAACAGGAGGAAACACTTTCAAAAATACCATGGTACAATGATCATGATTACTATATTCATGTACTATATAGTATACTTCATGGTAAAGCTGTTTTACCATATTCACATACTATAGTATTTACAAAAGTGTACTACCAAGGTTTATTTTTATAGATTAGTTGTATGACTGCAGTACCATGGTATTCTTAGAAAGTACCCTGAAACACCATAGTACACCATGGTTTATTTCAAAATACCATAGTATTACCATGTGATACCTTCACTGCACCATATTTGTACTAGTTTTTTGCAAAGAATACCTTGCTAACAATAATAATACAGTGGTATTTTTTATAAGAGATGAAAGATATAACATAAAAGGGTCATTTTTTACTTTCACTAATGTTGCCCTTTTTTCTACATTTATGGTGTAATATTCTGACCAGCGTAACGTAACAGGCTTGACACAACAAAGAAACAAGTTTCTTTCTGAGTTTCTGTCTTAAACTGAGATATTTTGTCTAATACTTGGTTACAAGTTAGTGTAGCCCCGCCTACACTGACACCTCATTGGTCCAAAATCCCACCGCATATGTTTGGGATTGGTAAGATTTTTTAATGTTTTTGAATGAAGTCTCTTCTACTCATCAAGGCTGCATTTATTTGATCAAAAATACAGTAAAATTTGATTAACTAAATATTTTTTAATGTATTCTAAAATAGGCCCACTAAAATTATCTTCACAAAGGTTGCATTTATTTGATTAAAAATACAGTAAAAATAGAAAAATTGCTAAATATTATTACAATTTAAAATAACTGTGTTCTATGTTTATATATTTTAAAATGTAATTTATTCCTGTGATCAAAGCTGAATTTTCAGCATCATTACTCCAGTCTTCAGTGTCACATGATCTTCAGAAATCATTCTAATATGTTGATTTGCTGCTCAAGAAACATTTCTGACTATTATCAATGTTGAAAAGTTTTGCTGTTTTCGTGCCCAAAAAATAAAAAATGCACTTCCAAAATTGAAATTAATAAAAAAATAATGTAACTATATATGAAGAGAGTTAAATTTCACACCCCAAAAAAGAATAAAATTGTTTATTTTTTTAATGTGAAGAAAAATGTTTGTAAAGATTCTTGTGATACATTTTTGCTTTCAGGAGTCTTTGATGAACAGGAAGTTCAAGAGAACATAATTTATTTCTAAAATAAATCTTTTAAATATCCTTACTGTCAATTTTGTATCAATTTAATGCATCCTTGATGGATAAAAGTATTAATTTCTTTTAATTTAAAACTCTTGACCCCAAACTCTTACAACAGTAGTGTATCTGTTTACTAAACATCTGATAGTTGTGATTGGCTGTGAGGCTCAATTTATGCTGTGAGTGTGGCAGATGAGCTAGTCACTGGTAACTTGTCGAATCACGCCTGGTTGGGACACATGTCAGACTTTTTAATGGCAAATAAAGAGCAGTTTATGTAAATGAGTGATGTACTCCAGGTTATCGACGGCTGAATCTCCAAAGAGGATGAGACTGTGTAATTATGGATTAGTCTAATTAGTCTCTGAAGCATTGATTGGACAGCAGACAGCGCGCACAGGTAACCAGTGGTTAAAGCACAAGCGTCAGTACAGGTCTTTGTAAGGTTTGGAGTAGTTAAACATCAAGTAGTCCATGTAGTAGAAGTCATACGCCCGCTGGCGCTCAGACGCGTTCAGCAACGAAAAATAATGCTGCGTGATCTGAGTGGAAGTTCTGGCCGCTTTGGGGTTCCCGTCCTTGAACGAGGGGTACGTCAGGTTCTCCGGTGCCCCGATCTTTCGTAAAAGGAAGTTGGCGTCTTCTTCCAAGGTCTCGACCTTCCCGATGAAGTCGTAGTGAAGATGGCAGGGGCTGCAAAGCTGGTTGGCCGCTTCCCAATGGATGTCCATTCCCACGGGACGATGCACGTCCAAAAGATAGTGGATGAACTCTCGAAAGGTCACGCCGCTTCCCGTCTTCAAAGCCGTCTGCGATGCATTCACTCTGTATTTGGAGATGATGGGCTTTCCGAAGACGGGATGGTAATAGGAATTGGGGCTCTCGAATTTGTCCCTGAACGCAGACACCAGTCGCTCCATTGGCTCTCGGACGAACAGGACTTTGGTGTACGTCTCCAAACGCTTAGTGATCCCCTGCCGGTCGAAGCTGTCCAGGCGTTTCAGGTGATTGTCGTAATGAACGGCCGCGTGATTGATTTCCTGCGTCGAGTTGGCGACGCCGGCTAAAACCATCAGGACTCTCTTCCAGTTGGAGCATCCGGCTTTAGGCACCTCGCAGTACAGCAGTTTATGTCTGTCCTCCACGTAAATCCGCGAGACGTGATGTGGCATTATTGTCCGTGAAATATTACTCCGATATTTCCCGCAGACTTCGCGTACGATCCGCCGGCGGGACTCCTGGACGTCAGAGAGACGGCGTGAGCTCGGCAGGGAAGAGTTTGTGTGGGGTCGCAGCACCGGGCTGGTCTTTAATAGTTTCCGGTGACGTTTGGTGACCCGTTGAGAGCCCGGGTCGTGCTCTCGGGACCCCGGCGTGGCGGCCTGTCGTTTCCACTGGGAGTCTGGCAGCTGCATCGGTGAGATGGGGTCGACGTCGCTCTCCTCTGAATGCTGGTTGAGTCGAGCTGAGACACTGCCCACGACCTCACTGAACTGAGAGCACTGCTCCTTCAAACACACACACACAGAACAAACCCATGAAGCATGCTGACATTATAAGAGGAATATGTTTAATTATATTGCACCAGAAAATAAGAAAAAATATTTTGAAATTCATTCTTTTTAAACTATTTTTGAAATTAATTTTAATAATTTTAAATAAATGTATATTGACATTATAAGAGAGGACTAGGTACATTGTTTTACTTCTCTCTCACTCTCAAAAAAAAAGAACTGAAAAAAAAGAATTCATTTAAAAATTGTAAAAACATTTCCCCCAAATTCTCATTAAGCGTAAAATAAAAATTATAATTATAATATTTCAAATATGAAGTAATTAATTAATACGTCTACATAGTATTTATTGTACTGAATTCAATTCACGCTCAATTAAAACAAAATCATTGTGTTCAGATAGGATTATTTTAATTACTATTACAATAATGAGAAACTAAAATAATAATTAAATAATTACATTTATATAGCGCTTTTCTAGGCACTCAAAGTGCTTTACATTGTCAGGGGGGATCTCCTCATCCACCACCAGTGTGCAGCATCCACCTGGATGATGCGACGGCAGCCATAGTGTGCCAGAACACCCACCACACACCAGCTTACTGGTGGAGAGGAGACAGAGTGATGAAGCCAATCAGCAGATATGGGGATGGTTAGGAGGCCATGATGATCAGAGAGGTCAATAGGCAAATTTGGCCAGGATGCCGAGGTCACACCTCTACTCTTTTCGAAAGACATCCTAGGATTTTTAATGACCACAGAGAGTCAGGACCTCAGTTTAACGTCTCATCCAAAGAACAGAGCTTGTTGACAGTATTGTGTCCTCATCACTATACTGGGGCACGAGGACCCACACCTACTGCAGGGTGAGCACCCCCTGCTGGCCTCCCTAGCATCTCTTCCAGCAGCAACCTAGTTTTCCCAGGAGGTCTCCCATCCAGGTACTGACCAGGCTCAACCCTGCTTAGCTTCAGTGGGTAACCAGTCTTGGGCTACAGGGTGATATGGCTGCCGGCCATAAAAAGATGGATGTATTAAAGTAAAGAGGATTTGAGAAAATGCATATATATAAAATCAAATATACAAATGGATTTTAATAATCTATTGTATGTATGTGTATGTGTGTGTGTGTGTATATATATATGTGTATATATATGTGTATATATGTGTGTATGTATGTGTGTGTTTGTTTGTATGTATGTATGTATGTATATATGTATGTATGTATGTATGTATATATGTATGTATGTATGTATGTATATATGTATGTATGTATGTATGTATATATGTATGTATGTATGTATGTATATATGTATGTATGTATGTATGTATATATGTATGTATGTATGTATGTATATATGTATGTATGTATGTATGTATATATGTATGTATGTATGTATGTATGTATGTATGTATATATGTGTATGTATGCATGTATGTGTATGTATGTGTTTATATATATATGTGTATATGTATGTATACATTTATGTGTATATGTATGTGTATATGTGTGTGTGTGTGCACAACAGACATAAAGGCCACATGCTGCATATTTCTGATTCCATTTAAATAATCTCAAGCATTTCAAAGTGCTTATTCTGTAATTACGGAGTGAATGAGAAACATTCAGTAATTACAGTTTTCCATGTGTAACCATGTGACCTTGCTTCAAACGTGTAATCGAGAAGCACTCACATGCACGTGCACACACACACACACACACACACACACACACACACACACACACACACACACAGGTTTACATTTGTCAAAAGTGGGGACATCCCAT